ATTTGTAAATATAATAACCCAACCAAACCTAACCTAATTAAGGGTAAAAGGTAAAGCCCGAGATTGTATGGAGGAGAGAGTGGCTGGGTGGAGCTAAAGTAATTTCTTAGTGTACAGTAGATATCACAAGTATTTCATATATGCGTATTAAGCTCCTCACTGTAATTTCTCAAATCATAACCAGTGAGACAACCAGAGATTGAGTTTAATGTAGGCTAGATTTTTTTTCATTCTACATTAAAACATTTAGTGTCTAGATATCAAGTTAGCTTATGTTAGTTTGACATTCCTAATTTATATATATACATATACATTAGTCGTCTCTAGCTAGGGGTACAGTTTCTTAACTGGGCTATGCTAATATCTATTGAAACTATCGATTAGTAAAACTTCATGAGACTTTTTCACAATCAGCAAGTTTGGTTAATTAGGTAAGGTTATGATAGTTTAATTTTATAGTAGATATATTTAACAATATCAATTACTATACAATATTTTCAGTTTGATAGTTTCATCGATATTAGCATAGCCCAGTTAAGAAACTGTACCAGTTTCGATTCTAGGTTAGGTAGGGGAGGGGGAAACGATACGATATGTATCGTTTTTCGATATTTTTTCCGATACGTATCGTATCGCTGTATCGCGATACGCGTCCGTATCGCCCATCACTAGACCGGGTGCCAAGTTTCTTGGTTACAAGTTTGTAACCCAGGCCCCACGGGTTGGAATCGACATCGTCCCTTAATGTCTCCCAGCAACTACGTTTATTTAGGTTGATGGCTCAACGAAGATACCTCCTAGCCACTCTGTGAGCATCCGACTTACGACGTCTGTCTACAGGTTCTCACGCCCTGGTAGCAAGTCTTCTGGCTCTCAATGCTGCCCGACACAATCTCGGCAGTCCACCAGTACAAAGGTCACTTATTGCACCAGGATCTCCTGCGAGTCATAGACTCATCGCAAGCCGAGACGATCAACCCCATCATGTATGTAACTAACGCTTCTGCGTGAGCCACGCTAGTTGCGGGGGTAAGTTCCTCGTAAGATGGCTTCATTGAATTTTGCCACGTCCAATTTTTTAATATTCCATCGAACGGGCACTTGAGGAAACACGGTTACTCGTCTTTGATTACCATCCAGGACATCAACAATTATGTACTGGTGGTCACTGGCTGTGTAATCCTCCAGGACTCTCCAGGCCCTGATCCTTGGCAAAAGAGAATCAGATGCAAGGGTAATGTCTGGGATCGTTCCCCACATCCCAGGGCGCCGGAAGGTTGGCGTGTTGCCCTCGTTGACGTCAACGAGTGCGGCTCTGGCAGCAAAGTCCAGAATGTACTTCCCCCGGGAATTGGTGAGGGTCATTCCCCACTCGACAGCCCCAGCATTAAAATCCACACCTACGACGACGTGTCATGTGGCATCGCGCACGCTCTCTTCCAGGCGGCCTGTCTTCTCACGAAAGTCACAGATAGCCTCGTTGGGAGTGAGGTAGACACTGAAGTAAGTTACATCCCGGCACCAATGATGCATTACGTGCCCAGAATCCAACAGTACCAACACTATCAGGGAACCAAAAAGATGGGACCCTATCTCGGTACTGGTACTGTTCGCTGACTAAGAGCGCGTCGACATCGTGTTCGAGGGTAAGCTGACAGAGAAGTGCGTCAGCTGTCCTGGATCGCTCAAGATTGCAGTGATTGCACTGAAGGATTCTTATCTTCGTGGGTGGGATTTCGCTTGCTGTAGTGCAGATTTAAATACACTACGCTGCCTAGATCCAGCTATATGCTTTACGTGTTTGTCAGCGAGCCAATTTTCTTTGCGAAGGCAATAGAACTCGACTTGTCAGTCTTTACGGATGTGACCCACCTCCCCACACCGAAGGCAGTTCTTGCTTCGGTCGGGCCCTTGCAGTTTCAGGAGGAATGGCTGAAACAGAGGAATTTACAACAGCTCTTCGTTTCCACCCTTTTTCTGAGCCTGCAGTTGACCCAGCCGACTCTCAGATGCTGATGTGCAAGCACATAATTGGCACGTGCGTCTGCCATTTCGGCGACCGCCATCCCCTGCTGACTCCTATTCGAGTTTGTGAGCCACACCTTAAGAAAAGCCGTTTGCCCGCCAAGCTCGGGGATAGCTTTTTTCAGTGCCTCAACCTCCGTTGACACACGATCAATGTCTCGAACCTCGACTGATGTCTTTGGCTCAAGAGCATGGACAGTGCCCTGTCCTTCAACAGCTGCCTTCAGTTCGGCAGTAAAAGCGGCTTTGTCTTTCGACTTACCCAGTTCAAGGTGAACGTCCCCTCCACGGGTTTGTATAATCGACCGTACAACCATATCAGTCTGCTCTGGCTTAGCCTTGGCCTTAATTGCCCCCAAGACTTGGCAAAAGATCTCCTCCCTGAAGGTTTGATTGCCTCCGTCCTGGGCTTTTTTGGCCGCGACTTTTTCGGAGCAGAGACCGAGCAGGGCCCAGTTTGGGCCATGCCCGTCAGTTGTGCCTTAGCTGCCACATTCTTCATAGAGGCGACCTCTGCCCGCCTGAATTGCCTCTTCTCCTTTTGGGAACGGCATTTTTCCCTCGCAGCCCAAGGTGTCTCTACAACTGACCTCTTTCGGGAACTTCCCTGAAAGGGGGTCGTAGGTAGGTGTGGCTGTCAGTTCTTCACTGGAGCTGCAGCTACGTCCAAAAAGGATCTGGGCACAGCAGACGATAGGTCTGTCTGATTCGTCTTGGCCTTTACTATTGCCATTTTGGTCTAGACGTCTTCTTCTCTTTTTTGAGGACTCTCCGATGTAGAAGGCCTCCGTATTTTCTAAGAAGACAGCGCTCTTTCATCGGGCAGGGACACCACCTTCTCGGCAATCTTTTCCACCAGGCAGGAAAAAACGAAGCCAAGGTCATCCTCTAGTTTGGCCATGCCGTTTTTGACCATTTGATTTACGGGGCTTTCTGGGTCCGGAAGGTGTCCAGCAATGCATTAATCGTCTCTTCCATGTCTCGGAGCCGGGTTTCGATGCTACTCTCTGGACGCAGAAGCGCCATCTCAGAGCCTTTCGACCGCAACGTGGCGGTACATTTTTCACAGCAGTGAAATGCTCCTCCGGCATCCCAACAGCATAACTGATCGGCAGGAGAGTTGCTGGCAACACCAGTTCGACTTCTGCATCCCCAACGTTTTCTGCACCGTTCTAGCTCCACTTACCGAAGGAGATAATAAATGGAGAAACTCCTTAGTGCATTTGAAAGGTGCAGGTGGCGGAGATGTCCTCACGTTGTTCGGTTGTGGCGACCTCTGAACCTTGGAGCTACGAACAAAAGGGTTCCGCTCCACTTCCAACGCATTTTCTTGCTCATTTGAGCTCTTAATCAAAAATGTGTTTTGGGGGGTTTTATTAAAAGCCATTGTGTTTATTCCAGCACATCGTGTGGCAAGGAGCGGCCCGGAATCAGTCAGGAACGGGTATACCCTCGGGGACAAAAACCCTTACCCCAGTTCACCGGGGCCTGACCTCCGTTTGCCCAGCACCGCATACCTGACGTGTGGGGGGTCACCCATCGCAATACAGAGCCTGACCTCTACATCCATGCCGCACTCCCTGCCCAAGGACCAAAGTGGCTGGCTTCACACGACCCACTGAGCCTGCCATACACGTTCCGTCCCGGCCTCAAGGCCTGGCCTTTAGGCCGGAACTGCACAGTTTGGCCGGAGTCGTGACCTCCCCACACACGCTCAGTCCGGAACTGCACAGTTTGGAGTTGGAAGGAGTCAATGACCTTCCCAAACATGCTGCGCGACCTGCCTTGGTGCATTCAGTCGCGCGTATACTGGGTAGCTCTTGAGTGCTTGAGTGTGTGCTCGATTTTGTCTTGTGCTCGACAGTGGAAATGTCAACTGTGGAAGATCTGGAAGCTATGGCAGTGGTTGTTTCTGTTATAGCAAGAAGAAAAAGGCGCAAGAGGCGTGTGCCAAAATCCAAAAACTACACCAACAAAACAACAAACAACACAGCTCCGATTATGCTTTTCACCAGTAGTTGACTCACAATGAAGAAAGGATGCGAATGCGATGATGCTTAAAATTTATAAGGGGAGGGGGGAAGCAGCACTGTCTTGGACTGCGGGATTCGCCATACACGTTCAAATCGGCCTCAAGGCCGGGCCTGGCCGGATGTGTTTCACATCCGGCCGTCCGGCCAACGGTCTGCCTGTGAATCAACATACACGTTTAGTTTTTCCTTCAGTCCAGGACTGTACAGTCCGGGACTGAAGGAAAACCGGAACGTGTATGGTAAATACCCATCAGCAGTGCAGGGCACACATCAACTCCTGCAACACAACAGGGGCACTCCCTGGGACTCCCAGTGAGAATGTCACTCACCCTTTTAGTCGCCTCTTACGACAAGCCCGAGAAGCCTGATGTCCTATTCCAACCCGGTACCGCACGGGTAAGTATATTTACATTGAACATTACATAAAACATAAGTATGTTTTTGTATAAACACGATAGTCATAAAATGTAGGGAAATTATGCAGGAACATCAAGCCTTCAATTTGCATGCTGAAGACACTACTTAATTATTCACGTAACAATAATTTCCACCGATTTAAATTCGAATTTTAAGATACTCAAGATATGATACAAAACCACCACTACATTTGTCATATTTGTTATGAAATTTGTCGGCAGTTTCGTTATTTAGACTTTGTATGTCGTTAAAAGTAATGTTTTATGATTTAATCTCAGTTACGATTTTACGTTCGTGTATTCGTATAATGTTGATACTGTTGTAGCTGTACAGCACCTTTTGCTCCATTGACACTTATACTTCAACTAACTTCTTAAGCTACATTACGTTATGGTGTAGATTTTTCAAAAGTATTTGAAGACGTATTCAAAAATAATTGTTAAATACAACCCTTAATATTTAGCAAGTATAATATACACACTATGATTTTTCATTGGCTATTGAAGGATTTTCAGACAAACTTACCGCCGTCGCTGGAGGGATATATGTTGAAGGCGTGGTCTTGTAGCCAGGAGGTGACAGTTAGGTAGTCCCTCATGAAGGTAGGGACGATACAGTGTAGTACGGCTATGTTACCTCTGGATACTGTAGAACTGCTAACATCTACCTCGTAGTCCTGAAGTATGACTGCAAAGTAGGCAATGATCACAAGACATCATAGTGAATCCGCATTATATAGAATTTGTAAATGTTAAAAGAGAGTTTTACCCAACTTATAATCATACCACCAATAAAACGCCTGCATTATTGTTCTAGAGTTTTTCTGTGAGTTTATTTTAAATAATTTGATAATGTTTAACCATTCACTATAAATATCACTAGAAAAACGAGTAGGCCTATGTAAATTAATATTTCCAATGAAACGAAACGTCCACACGCTCCACAGAGTATTATTTTAACTACCAAATGGTAACTGAATTCAATAACAAATACGTGTTCCCTTATAAAAAAAAACAGATTATTCTCCACTGTTGCATTGGTTAAGAATACAATTAAATTTAATGTTATTTGGGACGATGCAATCTCAAAACATCATGCAAAGTGGGTATGTGTATAACTGGGTATCATAGTCTCTCTAGTATTTAGGAGAAGCGTTAATAGCAACGCGTCCCAAGCCGGGAAACTCACTTCGTTCCCCTTAAATCTTAAAGAGACCCTTTATTCGCTCATTAATTAAAGGGTAAGCCCTATACAACCTCCAAGTAATGTATTTCATCCATTCCAACTGCCTCTAGAACACGTTATTGTGCAAGGATAAAGTTGAACTTAGTTTATGCAAAGATATCAGCAAATAGATGATTCTATCGTACAATATGAATATTGAGATAAGTTTTATCAGTAGCAGTAAGTTATTATGATTTGTCATAAAATTGGATGCATTATGCAAATTAATTAAAAACATAGACATACATTTAAGTATTGATTAGTACAAAAAAAAAATGATTGTGATTTTGTAATTCTTTATTGAGTCTGGTAAAAATTGAATTGTTAAATCGATATAAGACAAGTACAATTGACTGAACCATTTAACGGCAGTTCAATAATAATATCACTATCCAATACACAATTGACTGAATCTTCATTCTACAGTGGTCTTATAAAAACGTACCAACGATTGGGATTCATAACAAAGATTAAAACCGCAATGAAAGAATATTTGTACAAAATAATTAACACGTTATGCAGCCTACTATTCGATCCAACCACGGACGGTTACCATGGCAATGTGTTTTATGGGTTTCTATGAATGTAACGTTTTTGTATTGGCACGTGAGAATGCTAATTTAAGAGTAAGACGTAGTGAATAATCATACAGTTCTAACAACAGTTCAGAAGCTACAATAAAGGATTGTAATTGGGTAATTTGAATCCAATAAAGGAGTTTGTTTTACCCTTTGAAATTAAAAATAATAAGTAAGGTAGCTTTTAAAAAATTGTACAGTAGTTGCAAATGTCTCAATTTGAAAGGTTCAATAATGAAATTGTTAGGATACATTTAACTTAAGTTCTAATCCATCGAAAACTCCAAATCGCTATTCTGATAATGTTTATTTTAGCTCACGCTTTATCTCAAAGCATAGTTATTTTTAGTTAAGTACTTTCGAATTTCTGCTATAGAAAAATGTAACAAAAATAGTCTGCATATACTAAACAATATATACAAAAAAACTATGAGACTATACATAATTAGGTAATACTGAATGTATTGTAATACATTATCTGGCAGTTTTTACCTATTTTATCGAAATAAACATAACTTTAAAAATTATATTTATATAGACATTTTAATTAGAAGGTTAATTCAGGCTTGGTGAAAGAAATATTGAAGAGAGTTTCCGCATTGATAAACACTCGTCAAAATTAAAACCTAAATACAGTGATTGTTAATAAACTGTCAGCAGAAGCAAGAAGTAAAAGTAATCAGAAGGAAATATTTTGAAAGAAGAGCGTAACTTCAGTCGTAAACTCTTCAGAAGAGAAATTTCTAAAGACCTCAGAAAAAGAATCTGCCGTTTTTTTTTTCAAGAATGCTCTCTCAAAGTTTCCATTGTAAGCATTTTGTAAGTACCCCTAAATATTGGGGGTCTTTTAGTTCATCAATTTGATGTTTAGTTATTTGATTACCAAACGTAATATGGTTAGAGAAAACGTGTATTTGCAGCATTATTTAATGGGAGATGAAAAACTACGTTTAAACAGCACCATAGGGTTGTACCCGGACATTAAATTTTTAAACTTAAAATCATATCAGAATTTTGAACCTGTTTTGTACCGTTTTGTCTAAGCATAAATTTTGTACCTCTTTCCGAAAATATTCATGTACGCAAGTTGGGGTACAGTTCCACACTAAAAACACAAGTTATATATTTGACCAAATAAACTTTATTACAATTTTTTACAAATTTAATAGTTTTTGTAACACCAAAAGCAAATTTTCCACCACGTTCGCAACTGAGGTGTAGGCTAACCAATTTAAAGTCGAGATACAAGTCTACGTCTGAACCCTTTGCCCGAAATATAAACGATTCTATGTCATATTACAATAGTATTTATGTACCACTCAGAAATACTAATTACTTTTGTTATACCATTCAAATAAAGACTCAAGAACCAAAAATGCTATGTTTGGGTACAGGTCTGCCTCAAAAACATATAGACCAGGCACGATTATAAAATAGGGCAATGCAAGAAGCATTTCATGTAACAATTCGGGAAACAACGATTTTATGGTATATCACCTTGCTGAGTACGAATCTGCCTGTTGCCAAAGTGAAATTTGAACCGGAAGTGCGGTATCCAAGATGGCGACCAAAACTCTGTTAGCCCCATATCTCACTTGTTAGTTGCCTTAGAATAATTGTTTGAACGTCTGCATAAGGGGTCGGCATAAGGATATGGTAAAATACTAACTTGCTCTCAGTCGGACTTGTCTACTGAAGATTCGCCCCTGTGAGTTGGAGGCGACGCAGCGGTAAGATGTCCTGTGGACGTCCACGCGGAACTCGTTGTTGGAGAAGGGTGGGAAGACGAGGGTTCCGTTGGGCAGCTGGTAGCGGAGGCCGGACACTGTGGGCAAGGGGCTGCCGTCCCCCAGGGTCCAGTGGATGGAAGGCTGAGGGCTGCCCCTAGCGGCGCACTCCAGACGACCCCCCGTGCTGTTCAGGAAGTCCACACGACTGGGGGGCTCCACGAGGAAGATGGGTCCTTGACCGTCCATCAGCCCTGAGGTACCTCCTGTACAGAATAGTGCGGCACACCCTTCACTTCGGGTACATTACATTTAAGTAGAAATCTCATTACCGTGTTTAAAGTGAGGCTAGACAATCCATACCTATGATAATGGTGTAGCCGGTTTGAAAATTAATTTGAATGTGGTTGAATCGAGCCACCGACAGATTGCGCTGATAAAATAACCGATATCTGTAGAATACCCAAACTTTTTGACGTAGCCAAAATGAAAAGACAACTTATTGTAAACTAAATTTGCTTATGCAACATTAATGATCACAGTAACAAACTGAAAAGGAGAAAATAGAATATGAGACTGTTACAAACTCTGTTTTGTACTGATTCAACGAAGAAATTTTTTAACTCCAAATTGGCTAATTCATATAGGTGGGATACCTAATTCAGTATCTAAAATTCAATGGCTCTTGGTAGTTTTAGTTTGAGAATGTCGTTTGAATTGAGCAACTTTCAGAGTGTGTTAGTGTAGAATACACTTTTCTAAAAAAAAATTAATATATATATATAAGTATAAACTATAGCTTATTATGTCATATCGACTGTCGTAAGTTTAGAAACTAAAAGATAATAGAATTGTTACATCAGCACACTTCAAACAAGGCTCACATATCCTTTGACATTTAAATACCTACAGCCAATCCACATGGATAAGATATTTATCTCGGTAACCATAGTCAAAGTTAGCGTTACCATATAACCATTTATCCATCTAATACACAATATTGTGTAAATTAACATAAAGTACATACCATACATTTGAAAAAGCTTGGCTGGGAGTCATATTTACTTAGTAGTTATGAAATGGCTCATAAATATGTTAGATGTTATTTATTTACGATATATATAATAACGGTGATTAAATATTTCAAAAAGTGTATACACATTATTTTGTACCCGTTTACCAAAGCCTTGAATGTAAGTCGATTAATGTAGAAGAGAATATGTTTTGAACTACGACATGAAAACGTAATTAGGCTCTTTGGAGATTGAATATCATGACGGTGAATGTTTTACTTTCATAGTTAAAGTAATGTAAAATTTCACAAAAATATACCATTTAATTTTTATTCTGTAAACATAAATTCACCTAAAAAATGTGATTTCTATCGTTCTGTGCTACGGTTACGTATTGTCTGAAATCCATGTTGTAATCTCAACGATACATTAACTATTTTAATCAACTTGTCAAATTACGGATATAAAACTAAACAAGAATTGTTAATACTGAGAGTAAAATAGAATTGTGTAGCTTTACACATAAAATTAACGTACAAACCGAGGCAAATATAACGATACAACTTCCGATTGTAACGATTAATCAGAAAATGGACGGTCGCAATGTGAATTTATTGCAGAGAGATATGTTTTATTACTTCATCCCTGGAGCAGATATCGACGTTAATTGAAAGACAAGAAAAGTGATATAAAATTTGTACGTGCTATGGGAAATCGCCTTAAAACCCTAATTAGTCTATGTTTATTTATTATTTTCAGTTAATATAGTTTTAATTTAAATATTCAATTCGGGAAATTTCATTATATGGTTTAAAGTATACCTATGTAAATTCACTTATCCAGATAACTTAAAAGTATAGATGAAGATATAGTAAACATACTGTATACTATAGTAAATAACTTTAAAGTATAGTCTTGTAGATGAACAGAACTTCCTCTGCAGTAGTGGATTCCATTAAGTAAAAATCCATAAAACTACTTATTGTTTAAAATAAATTACATTCAAAGTAACAATGACTACCTATAGTAATATTTTTTCACTTGGCAAAAAAATCACTTAATATGTTCGAAAGCTTTACTGAGTGTTCACATATATGTCAACGTTATACTTAGCCACGTTATGTCCTGCATTATACTTAGGATATAGATTTTGGACGTAAAAAAGTAAAAGGAATTGAATGGTTTTAAATATTTTTTTAACTACTAAATTTAATTATAATCTACAAGAGTGTTATAAAATACTAAGAACAGCAGTTAAAAATATTGTTTCCATAAACTAATTAAATAAGGTAATAAGATCTTGGATTATAAATATTATTTCTTTGAAAAATATGTCCTAAACTCGAGGTTAATAAACAGCTTAGGGTGCTGTTCATATCAAATAACCACTTTAACAAGATATCGTACACATTTCCAAGGAACAATATTTATCTCAAAGGCGCTTATGACGTTCATTACTCCTCAAATCAGATTGTTCAGTTGAGCTTAAGGGTGTTTGGTCGTAAATTTTCATGCCTGATTTTTTTTTATTGTTCAATTGTACAAAATATTAGAGATACAAATATAAAGGAACATATTTTTATTTTGAATACTTAGCGAGATATGGAGCTTGAAAGTAGTAAATTTGTCATCTTTGGTACCAATTCACAGGGAGAATGGGTAATGCGGTTCTCACCAAAATTGGCATTCAGGTGTGGAAAATTAGATAATAATCACTAGCTATTACAAATTATAAATTTTTAAAATGTTGTTAATTATAAAAAAATTTAAAATAATTTTTTACAAATTTAAAAATAGCTGTTTGTTTTTGGGGGAAATGTATCTGTATGTTGGAATTTAAAAAAATGGGATATGTTACTAACACCTAGAATACAACGATAAACGTATTCTTTCAATGTTAAAAGATGTTATCGATTACGTGATATTAAAAGTATTCTACAGCCCCAGTGTTAGTGTACACACTCTCAACGAGTAGTGCTCCGACGGCGCAAGGCATCAAAGGTACGAATTCACAGACCGAATGAGTTAACATATCACTTTTTTTTTAATTCCAACATACGGATAAATTTTCCCCTAAAATAAACAGCTATTTTAAAAATTAAAAAAAAATTAAAATTGTTTTATAAAAAATTTAGTTTAATTTTTTTTTGTATTTATAATTTTAAATAGCTAGTAATTATTGTCTTATTTTTCCACACCTGAACGCCAATTTTGGTGAGAATCGCATTATCCATTCTCCCTGTGAACTGGTACCAAAGATGAAAAATGTACTACTTTCAAGCTCCATATCTCATATGTCCATATCTCGCTTATAAATAGCATTCAAAATAAATAATTTTGTCCTATACAGAGTGGAACGAAGTTAGTGCTAAAAAGTTTTATGTGTTTAACCACTAAGTATTGGTTAGAAAATGGCACCAATTTAAGTTTCCATACCCTCACAGGTAGGGAATAACATACAATTTAAGATGTTTTAAAAATATTTGTATTTGCTTACATAAAATGGCCATAAGTGCACTAAAAATTGTTTTTATTTCAAATCTATGTCATTTTTAGAATCCTCCTTAAATTTCCAATATTAATAGTATGAATTCACTTAGATGAAACATCTGCATAAGCCCTTATTTGGCAATGGAAGTTTGAATTTGTGATTTAGAAAAAATGATTTGAATTTAGAAAAAAAGTAATACATTTTCCAAAGTTTTTCTATACTACACTGGATTCTAGAGAGTGTCAAATATTACTAAAAACTTCTGCAGTTATTAACCTTTAAAATGACGTATAAACATCTACTCTGCGTTTAATTTGTCGTTCTCAAATTTAAGAGTTTCTCTTGAAAAACACGGAATGACCAAAATCGCCTCCCTTTAAAAGAACATGTATCTGCTTAAATAATATGGCAATAGCTGCAATAATCATATTTGAATAGGATTTATTGTAATTTTTAGAATTCTTGTGAGATTTATTGTAAGAATATTAAAGATCCATTAGGATTAACATCCATATAAACGTATGTTTTGTGAAAACATGTTAAACTAGTTTTATTTTTATTTTTCGAATTCATTGAATATTGTTTAAAGTTACACATGGTCCATTTAACTTAAGATTTTTTTTAAGCATAAGCAAATACTTCCAATGGAGTAACCTCTAAAATTATGTAGATACTACACTTACATCAGAAATACATAGTTTAACTTATTTACACAAAAACTAAAAGTTAATTCTAAAACACTCAATATTCGAAACTTAAATAACTGTTCCTTACTCCCTTAACATTTTAAACTATTGAGTTTTTTTTTTTTTTTATCTCCTTTATTTTCCCTGATATACAGCCAGGTTTTTTAGCACGTGGCACCAACAGTAGCATTAAAATACTACGTTTATCTTACTAGCAGATCTGGATTCATTATCCAGTTGTAAATTTCCTGATTATCTTCCACTAAAGATGAGTAGACCAAGTACTCCACATAGCCACACAAAACAAGTCCAGTGGACTTACGGTCTGGCGACCTGACATGCCAGCAAACCACACCATATGACCCATCTTTATCATTGTTATCATTTAAGTTGTATATTTTGCATTAAGTCAATCTCGCACATTGGTTGAATATACCATAGAACTAACACCGTAAACGATTTTAAGTTATCCCCATTAATAAGAAAAATCCCCTAAATGAAGATTCATCACAAAACATAGGTTCATAAAGTGTTAATCCTAAAAATTCCTCAATATTCTTATTAGGAATTTCACAAGGATTCTGAAAATTGCAATAATACCCATTTCAATGATTTTAAAACCAGCTGCTGCCATATCATTGAAGCCAATACATGTTTTTTTTACAAGAAATTAAACATTAGCCGTTCCGTGTTTTTCAAGAGAAACTCTTAAATTTGAGAACGACAAATTAAACGAACAGTAGATGTTTTATACATCATTTTAAAGGTTATTAACTGCAGAAGTTTTTAGTAATATTTGACACTCTTTACAGTCCAGTGTAGTATAGAAAAACTTTGGAAAAAGTTATTACTTTTTTCTAAAAAATCACAAATTCAAACTTTCATTGCCAAATAAAGGCTTATGCAGATGTTTCATCTCAATGAATTTGTACAGTTAATAATGGAAATTTAATGAGGATTCTAAATATGACAATGAATTTGGAATAAAAACAATGTTTAGTGCAGCACTTATGGCAATTTTATGTAAGCAAATACAAATATTTTGAAAACATCTTAAATTGTCAGTTATTCCCTACCTGTGAGGGTATGGAAACTTAAATTAGTGCCATTTTATCACCAATACTTAGTAGTTAAACACATAGTATATTTTAACACTAACTTCGTTCCACCCTGTATATTTGTATTTCTAATTTTTAGTACAATTGAACAATAACAAAAATAAGACATCAAATTTTTGACCAAACACCCTTAATATCTGATCTGGTGTGATACAGATTCACTTCTTACTTAATTTAAAATTAAGATGGAATGGTTTCTATCAGTACCTAGTCCATCCATCAGTTAAAAATATTTGCTTACAGGATTGGTTTAAAAATCATGCACATGTAGTTTTACTTGTATAGTTCCTACGACTTTTAATTTTAGACAATCCAATACGTCTATTCATTAGCATAACATATAATTTTCCATTGATCTGAGCCGTTGGATTATCAAAGGAAATTTATATAATTTCTCAGTAATAGGATCTTTTCATAGTAGAATTATAAAAATATAATAAATATATTTACCTGAATAAAACAGAGATAGTATTAGGTAAATTCTGGGTAATAAGTAGATGTAACCATCTTCCTCCGACATCTGAAATGTAAGTAGACTAAGTTAGTTAATATTATAAAATAATTATTTATTCTTTCATCTTATAATTTTGAAGATATATCATTACACATAATATACAGGATAAAGGCTTTAAGTTAAAAAATATATATTCATAAAATTAAACATCTCGTTGGTTTTGAATTCTATTTTTGATTGTGCATACATTTTGCTAAAAGTGTAATAGTAAACTTTGTTAACGAAGCTCTCGTATTGTTTGGTTGAAAGTGCTGAAACAGGAGACCGCAGTTCTCAAGTAGGGAAACTGCTTATTATACGCTTATTTACAACTAGTTTAGACGTTCGTTTACACAAGAACGTGAAACCTGGCAATAACTTCTATATAACTTCAACATAGGATAATATTTACTAATAACAAATTTATCGATAATTTTCTGTAATGGTGGTTATTATACAGGGTGGCTGAAAAGTAACTTACACCCCCCCCCCCTTAACTTTTCAACCATTTGAGATAGATTAAATCTGTTTGCGGCAACCTTCTTAGATATGAGGGGCTACAATAATTATGGTAAATTTTGATAATTTTGTCCTTATTGGGGGTCAAAACTTTTTAAAGGACAAGTATAGTCGAGTCTGGTGTCATTTTACAGGTCTTGACGAAACATAAAAATTGAAATAAAGAAAGGCAAAATTGATCCACTAACAACAAAATGGCGCCCGAAAACGTTACAAATCCAAATAACCATGAGGGTGGATGAAAATTAACTTGCACCCCCTTTAACTATTTGAGATATTTGAAATTGGTTTGCAGCAACTTGATTGGATATGAAGAGCTACAATAATGATGGGTGGGGTTTAGTAGGGGTGGGGTTTAGCTAAAAATTTTCAAATAGGAAGTATAGTCGAGTTTGGTATCATTTTACAGGTCTTGACAAAACTAAACAATTAACATAAAGAAAATAGAAATCGGACCATTAATAGTGAAATGGCAGCTAAAAATAAATATCTCAAATAGTTAAAAGTCTTTTTAAATAACGTTAGGTTTAATAAATACCTAGGTTTGATGGAGGATTATAAAATGTGTCATTTTTAATTGATATATTAATAGCTTAGTATAAATTAAATAAATGTGCAAATGTGTTTTAAAAGATATCCATAAGCAAGTAAACAACAACATTTTCCTTATTCTCCATAAGAATAACATTTTAAATTTAAGATTAAAATGAATTTTCCTCAATAACCGTTAGAGATAGGGCAAATGTCATTAAAAAGGTGTATTTTTTGTGTTCTTTAAATTTTGGTCGTACAAAATTTCTGTATTTCCACCGGTTTGTGAAATATGGTAAAAAAGTTATAATCAGCCGACATTTTCCAAGATGGTGGCCGTAGCACAGCATGCACGAATGTTGATTTTTGATATGTTGTTACTGGGGAATAGTACTACACATGTGCAAAGTTTCACCATTTAGGGAACTATTTAATGGTAGATGGGTATGTTTCCCTAAAAATACTGGACTAATTGTGCATTATTTAAACGCAATCACTGGCAATGTCTTATTGTTGCCAGTATATATATCTCGATTTCTCAATATTTTCAATATCAGGTCTTAAATTATCAAAATTGTTTTCATTGCTCAAATTGATTAAACTGTTGTTTATAATAAAAGAATGTGTGTATCATTATCTCCATTTTCTACTTGCATAAGTCAATTTAAGTACTCCCATTTAAACACGAAAGATTGCTAATGTTTACAGTGTGACCTTGGCTTCCATTTTAGCAGTCACTTTTGACCACGATCAATTATCAATTATATTTAATATGCTTGGAATATTTACATTAAACATTGATTTTTTTATGGTGGATAATTTAATGGATAATTCTGTTAATAAATAAATGAAGTACGGGGTGGTATCTACAGCACACATCAAAGTCGGTTCTCCAAGTTGACAGTAGAGGACGCGGGAGGCTGAACAGGTAGAAGCCACTCCAACTAACAGCGCTTACCCTAATGAGCTGACATTGGCTTATAACTTCATCTACCCACCTTTTGTTTTTTACATCCTTTGATGAAACCAAGATTTTTGCTCACAATTAATGTATTTAAAATGAGCTTTTATATCCATTAAAAGATTCTTGGTTCAAAAATATACAAGCAAATATTGGCATTATAGGGTTTAGAATTGTAAATAGTTTTTTTTTGTTTTTTTTTTTAAATCTTATAAATTTATAAGATATGTATGAGGATTTTTATTTTTATTTTGTTTTCACTGAGTATACTACAAGAGGTATTAAAATTTCTTGCTATACTGAACAATCTTTGAGAAATACATTTATTATTCCCTATATATTCATTTATTCGCGTTTCAGGTAAATTACTACGGTTTTAAGCGTTATGACTTCTTAATGCTTATTTGTTTATACTTACTCTTCCAGATGAGTAAGTAAGAATTGTTCATATCTTAAAAAGACTGATATTTCGTAAAATTTTATATATATACATATTTTTTTAGGTTTTCACTTGTACGAATGACAAAAGTGTCAAAGTGTTTGGAAGAAACATGCATTAATATCTGAGAAAAAAGTTCTATGCTTTAGGCTTTTATATTATGGAAGCCCTAAAACAAGAATGGGTGAATATGTTGCCAATCATATTTTTGTGTTTTTTGTATTTATATTGTGTAACATTTCAAACAAGATGCTACATGCTCGCTCGGCAACTTTTCCCTCGTTAATTAGACACAAACACTTTTCGCTGATGAGACAAAGTTTGGATGCGCGGAAGTGTTCGTCCATGTGAGACATTAAAGTGTTGTTTGAAGCCGGTTTGAGTTTGTAAGTTTTGCTAGGTTTACATTAGACTGCAACTAAAAGTGAGATTGATTTTACATTATATTTTACAAACCTTACATAGTTCAAATCTAACATATCAGTAGAGAAATATTAGCTTTCTTAAAATTATCCTTTAAGGATAGAATTTCGGCATTTAAATTGACGAAATACGTATATTATTAAATTTTATGGCCAAAAAGAGCAATCGTAATAGTTGTGTTATTGCTGTTAGTCGAATCAGCAGATTTGAGCTCAACATGTAAGCCATTGAAACGAATATCCGTTATAATGTGTTTCAAAGATGTTTTTATTCCACGACTATATTATTTGTACAACATTCGAATCAATCTTGATCTTTTATTTATAAAACAAGAGTGTTTAAATGAGCTGAATTTGTAATCGAAGGTTTTAGTCAAACCACCGACCACAAATCTCACAAATTTGAATAGTCAATCAAATAAATCAGTATCAATAAATAAAAGCTAAGCTGAATATCTGTAAACACAATTTCTCGGACTGTAACCAAATGGAAATAAAGATTGTTTACGGTTTAGCATACCAACTCCGGTAGGCCGGTATTGCAAGGTATTACAACTCTAAACTGTATATTATATATTTGTTCGATGAAATGCTTTTGAGGAATTCATTTGGGGCATAGACATAAGTGCCTTTAAACGTTTCCTATTATTTTTACGGACACTCAATTTCAAAGTTATCTATTGTTTCAATAAGCTTAGTACATAAAGTAAAAAAAAAATAAAACTACAGATATGATATTAAACTGAGGACAGTGTTGTTGCTAGTATTTATAGTCAAACCTGGTATTTTGGCAATAATATAATATTCACAACAGATAAATAAATTTGGTATGGCAAATTCATGAAAATTGTTCGCTATTCAGTGAGAAGATGAGATGACACTCTTCAACAAAAGAAAAATTATAAAAAAAAAATTCTCCATAAGAATAACATGGGAATTTAAAACAATTTTTACAATTTTTTTGATTTTCTCCGTTACCAATAACCGTACAAAAACACTTCGATATACAAAATTGTTTGCTTTTTAAGCTCCTTAAAAAGGTCTAGGGAAAAATTGTGAAATTTTGTGTTTTGAGGGTCAAAAATGAGAAAAACCAATTTTTATCCCGTAAAACCCCTCGTAAAACCACGTTCCCAAGGTCCGATCACGCTGGTTCGCAAACTCATTCAAGTTTATCTCGCCTTACACCTTTATATACTATATACGTACCATATACGTACGTACCATATACGTACTATATACACCTTTATACGTTTTTCCCTGGTCATACGGGTCTTGGTTTTACCGTGCCACCTACGGTAATAGCTACTTCCCTATTGGGAAATTCGCTAATACAATTCGTTGATCCAGCTATTGAACTTTAATTTAATTGCAACTAAACGTTCTCCAATAGTTTGCTCTCATATGTCACACTATCCTTCAATGTTTAACGGGGTGAAATTCCCTATTTACATCAAAGACATTTTATTGAGATGGGTGGGGTAGAACTATGGTAACTTAAACTTAGTTGCTATGGTAACAATAAACCTAAACAGTAAAACAATTTCACTGACGCTGTTGCCATGCATTCCTTTCTACGCAAATCATAAAATAATCCAAGATAAGTTTTAAATTATGGTTCTAAGCTTTAAATTATGTTTCTTTAATTAATAGCTACAATATTGACTCCATTATCAACGGTATAAGACTAACTATATGCTGTGTTTATTGTGTACTTTTTTAAAGTATATGTTTTGAAACCTACTAATTATTTTAAAACTATGAATTCCGTTTATAAACACGTACCATAGTATATTTTACTAAACAGTTATTTAGTCTGCTACCATGAGAACAACAATTACATTAAGAATATTACAATTCTTTTATAAATAAATAGGTAGTTACTACGGTTGAAAAAAACTTTAGTGACGTTGAATTGTTATATTTCCCTGGTCTAGATTATAAACCCTTTCGTAACCTTGAAACTGTTGAAATGTGCCTTCAATATAGAGCTAAGGATTTAATTTTGACAATGAGAAAAATCGTTGCATACAAACACGAATGAGTGATGATAATTGTTTAGTAAGTCAAGAAAATGAGAATCTCCCTTATCGTGGACAAGAAAACTGTTGTTTTTGAAGTTATACTCTTTAGGTTATAATAATAATATATTTGG